GTCTCAGGTCTGTAGGAGGACCATCGTCCCAGTCTCAGGTCTGTAGGAGGACCATCGTCCCAGTCTCAGGTCTGTAGGAGGGCATGATGCTGCCACCACCGTGCAGTGCTGCTGTCGGCAGCTGTTCAGTACAGAACTTGGGGTTCAGTTCGTGCCTCACCAGATCAAAGAATCTTTTTTCTTCACTATGGTTCTGCAGCTCTGTGGAACCAGAACATGAAGGAGAGAGAACTTCTGTCAGCAGGACTTAGGACGGCAGAAGACTTTGTAGAAAATGTCTGTTTTCCTGATGGAACCTGATGAGGTCGGACAATCGGACACTTCTCTCTCTGGCTGATGAATGTTGTGACTTTTGAAGCTGCTGCTGGGTTTTAATTAAACACAATTCAAAACAATGTTTTGCGCAGAGCTTCGTCCATAAGGTCCTGATTAAAGTCTGAGGTCAAAGTCGGAGTTTATAAAGTGGAGCTTTAAAAACTGCCCTGACAGGAGGTGATATTCTGGCAGGAAGCAGCCGATTAGGAAACGTGTGTTTTTATTGGTTCTGATTGTGTTTTGTGTCTGCAGGCCGCTGAAGCTTAATTACACCTGAGTGGTCGAGCGAGGCAGGAAGAACTGTGTGACGGAGAGAGAGAGTGGCTGAAACACTCTGATTGTTGGTTTTGTGTTCAGTCGATTCCGTCGGAGGCTGAGCTGCTTCATCACATTCACTCCGTGTCGTGGATTTCTTCACCTGGACTCAGGTAAGACCCGCTGCCGCCTGCAGCTTCACTCGCTGGTGCTGAAGCCGGTCCGTGACCGCGTCCAGGACACAGAATATTCCAGAACTGTTTGTCGTGATCAAACTTTAGCTGATAGGATTAAAGTTGAGGAAACGGAGCGTGTGTGAGCCCCGGGTCGACTCCTGGCATGTCGGTGCATCAGCAGCGGCTCCGTTACGCATTTTCTTCATGAAGCTGTGATTTTACTCACGTCAGTGAATCCTGTTGTGTTTTGTTTACATTCATCAGCAGGAGATTTAAAGATGATTTCATCAGAACCAAACCAGCGTTTTATAAAACACGACTGAAGGATGCTTTTCACAGATCAGTTAAAACATCTCTAAAAGCCGTCCACAGGATTATTGTCACTTCAGTGGAGATCTGACTTCTTTAAGATTAAATGCTTCTGATGTGTCCCAACAAAACCATTTTTATTCTCGGTGGTTCCTTCATGAGATGCGCTGAATGAAGCCGAAGCTGCAGCGAATTTAAAACCGTTAAACGGGACAGAGACGTTTCTGATGTTGGTTATTTTGCTGTTGATGATGTGAAATAATATTGATTCAGATTAAACAGAAAACAAGAAAATAAATTCAGAGACAAAAGACGCCTGAATACTGGTTTTAACCATGAAGGGATCAATACGACATTTTACTGCACGTTTAAAATTCAGTTCTGATGAAAACATGTCGACTGAAATAAAAGAATAAATTGATTAAATGTGACAAGTCTTGAATTTGGATCTCAAGCAAACGGTTCTGATTTAATCTGGATCCTAATCGGAACCTCAGAAACCAGCATTAATTCTAAATGTGCATTTTTCACACCTTTTATTTATTTTCTGTCACTGATGATGAACACAGAACTAAAGACAAATTCATGCTTTTATTAAATAACTTTTAGTCATAAAAGAGGCAATAAATTAAATGAGAAAGTCTCAACGAAGCAGTAATTATCACCTCCAGCAGAACAAACTGCGCCGCTGCCCCGTTAATTATTCAGACGTTTAACCGGACAAAGAGGAGGAAGCAGCCGACGGGATTCGTGTCTGAAACGGGCTCAAACTCTTCAGTGTCTCCAGAATTCACCCCAAAAAAGAAACTCGGCTCAGAAACAAGATTTAAATCCATCTGAGTCAGACACAAACAAACGGCGTCACTTTGATTACAGACAAGTTAAAACTGGTTTTATTTCATTCACAGAAAAACTCCAGAACTTTAGAATGTGAGCGGTTCTGTTTGATGTCACTAAATCATCTGATTCAACGTCTGAATGTTAAAAACGAGGCATCGACGTGTTTGTTCATTTCAACAGTGAAGTGCCGCCTTTCAGTCCTTCACGGCAGCAGCAGGTGTTTCAGATGCGACTCGATGCGCCGCCGCTGCGTTCGAGTCGTTTCTCCGTTCAGAGGAATCTCATGAACGGCTTCATTCGTCTCAAAGCTGCTTCTTTCACAGCGTGAAGACATTCAGGCTGTTTTATCCCCGTTTTCAGGGAACATTTGGTCCAACTGTTTGTTCTGTGGTCCAGGATGAAGGTGGAGGGGCTGCAGGAGGACGGGGAGTCCGGCTCGGCGTCCGGACCGGACCGGACCAGCCCCGGCTCGGCAGAACGCTGCATGTCGCGGCTGCTGAGCGCCGTGGAGAACGAGCTGCAGGCCGGCCGGGAGAAGGGCGACCCGACGGAGAGGGAGCTGAGGGTGACGCTGGAGGACGGGGAGCTGTGGAGGAAGTTCCAGCAAATCACCAACGAGATGATCGTCACCAAGAACGGACGGTGAGACCCGCAGAACCGGCATCTGCAGCGGTTCTGCTTTGCTTTGCTGTGTAGGCGAGGTTCTGCGGCACCACAGGACTTTGCCTACACAGCAGGAGCTTTTCTGGGATCTGTGGAGATAAAAGTGGGTCAGAACCTTCTGCTCCTCTGACTGGACGTCAGACGTCCCAGAAAGCTGCAGATACGAAACAAAAGTCAGGAAGTGAACGACAGCGTCCGTCCAATCAGAACCTTTTGTTTAACTGGCTGCAACTACAGAGGTGTGAGAGGCGTTGGGTGAGGTTCTTGAAGAGGTTCTGGGTTCTTTAGGGAGGTTTGAGGGAACTTGTGGAGGCTGTGGGGGTTAAACGTTCCGTGGTTCAGAGGCGGGTGGAAGCAGTGGAATCACAAAGATGCTGATGGTATCTGGAGCGACAGCTGGTTCTGCTCTGATCAGATCAAATCTGGTTTTCATCCTCGTTCAGGCGTCGGACGACAAAAACAGAAAAACCGTCCGTAGAACCGATCCTCACGGCGGTTCTAGTCCAGATTCTGAGTTTTAGATCCTTCACAGGTGATTTAAGGTCCAGTCAAATAGTTCATTCATTAGATACAAACAGAAATTCTCTGATTTTTTTTTGCTGGTTCTGGTGGTTCTGCTGGGTCGGTGGGGAAACTCTGCCATGACAGAACGTTTCCAACCAACACAGAAGCTGCAGACGAAGATGGCCCATTAGTGGCTGAATGTGCGGCGGATCGGTCCGCTGCTAATTGAGGTTATTCATTAGCCTCGTTAGCGGCGGCGGCGCCGTGGCCTCGCCGTGGCTTCTCTGTTTTCTGTGTTTTTGCCGAGCCGAGGCGCCTGACCTGCGCTGGAAACTCTCCATTTACACCTGCTGGACGCCTCTTCAGCCGCTTCACACGCTGCAAACTTGGGAGGCGACAGATTGATATTCACAGCGTTTATTCAGCGACTCGAGAGGGAGCGAGTCAGAAAACAAACGCACCTCTCGGGTGGAAACCGGCGTTTTCCAACACGAGCCGGTTCCAAAACACACACGTCTGAACAATCTGGACCAGAACTCGCTTCTGAACAACCGGAGAGTCGGCAAACTTCCCTCTGCTCAGCCCGTGTGCTTTTATTTAGAAGGTTTAATAAAGCAGCGAAAACAAAATAAAAGCACGAGTTACACGAGAGACCCGTAAGAACCAGCGACTGGACCGGCAGTGACAGAACATAGTGACGATCAGGGCGTCGAGTGGAACAAGAGTCTGCAGCAGAGACTCTGAAGGCTCAGCTGCTACCTGAACAGGTAAAGTGCTGCTCAGAAGGTTCCAGGTCCGTTATTTTAGAACCTTCAAACCATCCAGTGGGATCCTAGAGTCGGTCACACACACAGTCTGTGAACCTGACGGACTGAACGCTGGTTCTGGTGACGCACAACAGCTGGTTTTATCAGGATGGAAGGAACCCGGAGGGNCACACACACACACACACACACACACACAAACCAACAGTGTGTTAATTATTCTGGGTCTGACCCTGTCAAACACTAATTGGCTCTCTGACACACACACTGGTGTAGAGGTGGGAGCTGCTGTGTGTGTGTGTGTGTTGCCATAGCGCCCCCTGCTGTCACCTTCGCTGAAGTCCTCGTTATATTTTAACAGATTACAACCTGTGAACAAATACACACATGAATCTACACATCGATATGTCTATATACATATATGTATGTATGTATAGATGGAGAGAGAACGATATAGCTGTGTGTGTGTGTGTGTGTGTGTGTGTGTGTGTGTGTGTGTTAGTTTTATATATATAATACATTAACATCAAAGTATAAATAATAAAACATAACATTTTTTAAATATTCGAGATCAATTTAATGCATTCAAATTATAAAAATGTAATAAAATAAATACGCAAATGAATTAAATCACTAAAGAGAATAAATTAAGTATTATTGTAAATTATTTAAATGTAGTCAATTAAAACAAATCAATAACTTTGAGTTAGAATCAATAAAAACCGTAAACACTGAAACAGTCTGTCGACCGTCGAAGCAACAAACCAGAAAAACGCTTTGAAAGCAATTTTCAGTTTCATCATTTTAGTGGATTTTGTTTCTTTATTTGTTTCCTTCATGAGCTCTGACAGAAGCGAAGACGTTCTCTGAGCAGAACCTGATTTAAACATCACGCTGGTCTTCAGCGCTTCAAACCTTCTCGGAGCTGCTCTCACTGAAAAGCTGCCGTCTGCTTCCATCTAGTGGTCTCACTGAATATTACAGTTTGTGGATCATCCGAAGCCAGCACAGCGTTTCTGTTTGTGGTCATTGTTCACAGAACTGCTGAGCTTCATGTGACTCGATATTTACAAACAGAAAACTTCAGTGTGTTAAAATGTAACGAGACACGAAGTCTTAAAGGACTTTGTCATATTTTAGTATCGTGTAAAAAACGTCATGTTTGTGACATTAAACGAAAAAGTCAATTATTCATAAAAACATTTTACTAGAATAGTTAGAAAAGACATGAGAGTAGCATGTCCGAGCAGAAACCAGTCAGAAACCAGTCTGTAACCAGTCTATAAGTCTGTAACCAGTCAGAAACCAGTCTGTA